GTTAGTTTTGGAACGAAAAGAACTATCTCTTAAAAGCATTAAAAAAATAATAATTATAATTTTTTTCCAGCGAGCTCTGGTGGCCTAGTGACAAGAAGCTACACTGCAATCCTAGAGGTGCGCAGTTCAAATCTACCAGATGCTCCGCTGGAGCAGGAGGGACAATCTCCTCCTGTACTATTCAAATCTGATTTGAAGGTACACACACACACACACACACATTTTTTTAAAGTATTTCCACCACAAAGGGTGTCTAAATGTGACCATCTAGTGTCTAACACCGGGGTGGGGTAAAGGGGTAGGTACTTTTCTTTGGAAGATGGTTTGCATTTACATCTTTTTAACTTGTGTAGGGGTTTTAGACACAATTCTCAACACTGAGATTACAACAAATTTTGGATTTTCTACTGTTATGTGGGAATATTAGGTCCCCAGCAACATCATCTTATATAAGAATCAAGTGCTGCAGTGGAAGGCAAAAAACGCACCAAAAAAGCCCCAAAACAACCAACCAAAAAATGAAAAGGAGTCTGGTTGTGTAACCACAAAGTTGGTTGTTCAAATCCACTCCTGGATCCATAAGAAAAAAGGCCTAGTACCCTTCTCCTGTAAAGACTGTTGTTGGTAAGTACTGCCAAGTCAGTTCTGATTCCTAACTATCCTGTGTACAACAGAGCAAAATGCTGTTCACCCTCACAATCATGGGTATGTCAGAGCCCATTTTTTTCATCAATGTGCTAATTCATCTTGTTTTCTATTTTACCAAGCTATGATGCTCAGTTTTGGGGTTTGTTTGTTTTTTTAATGTTCACTATTATTTTCTGGTAGTTCCCTGTTGATGTAGCTCTGACAAGGACATCATACTCTAAAAAGTAAAGCCAAAAGTCCTATTATGATCCACTTGGTTCTAACTCACAGCAACCCTCACCAAAGATTACAGCCCAAGAAACGCACTGTCTCCTCTCCTGCGATTAACAGCCTCAGAACACAGCCAGAGAGCTCTGGTGGCCAAGTGGTAAAAAGCTGCTCTGCAATCTCAAAGGCATGTACCTTGAATCCACCAGCTGCTCAGTGGGAGAAGGATGACAATTTTCTTCCATGTGATTTACTGCCTCTGAAAACCCACTGGAGGATCAGCTATGGGTAACTTCTGACTCAAAGGTATTTAACAACATAATACTCCTGGAAAGAGCAGTCAAGAAGTCAAAAGACTTGTTGCATTGGAAAAAATATCCTGTAACAGGCCTCTCCAAAGTGCTAAAGAGCAATGATGTCAGTTTAAAGACTAAGGTACACCTGATGCAAGCTATTGTTCTTAGGTGCTGTTGAGTACAACATATAGTGACCCCATGAACAACAGATCTAAGCCCTGTCCTATCCTGTGCCATCCTCATTCTTTCTGACACACTAGAGTCCATTGCAGCAATCCACCTGGTCAAGGGTCTTCCTCTCCTTCATCATCCCTCCACATTCCCAACCATAATGTTCCTCTCCAAGAAATAACTTCTCCTAGTAACATGCATGAAGTAGCACTCTAGCTACACCTTCTCCAAGACATACCTGTTTGTTCTCTTCACAGTCTATCGAATATTCACTACCTTCTCCAACGCCACAACTCAAAGTTATCAACTCTTCTTTTGTCATCCTTAGTCATTTATCAGCTCTCTGATACACAGCAAGTGACTGAAAAGATGTACCTTAGTCCTCAAATTTACATCATCGCTCTTCTATAATTTGGAGAAATCCCTGACTACAGACTTTCCCAACACAAGTATGTCTCTTGATTTCCTGACTGCTAATACCCAATATATGGATTGTGGATCCAAGTAAGATGAAGTCGTTGACAATCCCAATCTTTATCTATCATGACATTGTCTATCTGTCCAGTGGTGAAGATTTTTGTTTTCTTGATATTGAGATGCAATCCATATTGAAGGCTGCAATCTTTGATTTTCTGCAGCAAGTGCTTCAAGTTCTCTTCACTGTCAGTAAGCAAGATTTTTAAACTTCAATTAATATTAAAAAATAATAAAATAAAAATCTTGGGGGAAATTAAATACATGCTTTTTTTAGAAACACTGGAATGGAGCACATTCCATTCCATTCAGAATGCAGAACGAAGGAAAGAATTGTCAGAGAGGAGTGTATGGTGAGATATTATATGTATGACAACAATCTGCAACAAGAGGTTCATAGCAAATTGGAATGAAGGAGGGAGAAGGGAGAGGGGGGGAGAAAATGTGCAATAATCAATGAATAAAAACTCAACCTTTCTGTAAATATTCATTAAAATCACAATTTAAAAAAAAAAACCCACAAATTGCTGAAGAGTAAGGATGTCAGTTTAAAGATTAGGACATGCCTGATCCAAGCTATGGTCTTTTTGATGACTTGCTACACATCTGAAAGCTGCTGGATAAAGACTAAGGGCGACAGAATAAGAACCGATGTCTTTGAGTTGCGATGTTGGAGAAGAATATTTAAGATCCCATGGATTGTCAAAAGAACAAGCAAATATGTCCTGCAGAAAGTGCAACCAGGGTGCTCCTAGGAGGCAAAGTTGGTGAAGTGTCGTCTCACTTGTTTTGTGTATGTTTTAGGTTAGGAGAGGCATAACATCATGTGTTGTCTGCCTGATAGTTGAGCCACAGCATAGATTTTATTCCAAGTGCCAAGAGTGATGAAGGGCCATAGTCTTGGGGGTTCCACCAGTCTCTATAAGATAAGTATGCCTGACTTTTTCTATATTTTGTTCCACATTTTCTTCTACTCTGTGACCTACTGTGATCCCTTTGAGGATGGTCCATGGGGACAGCCAAGCACTACCTAGTTCCTTTGATTAACTCAGGGTTGTGAGGTTGAGGTTCTTGTGGCCCATCTTTCCTTTGAACATTTATTGAGTGCATTTTTGCTTTTCTTCCCTCTTCTTTGTTTCAGACAGAGAAAAAACCAGTAGTTACATTTTAGATGGCTGCTCAAAAGCTTTTACCACCCCACTCGCTGCTCACAAAAGTATAATGTAGAAAATGTCAATTGGACTAATGTTATGCCTAATTGACCTTATTTCATAAGCTCATCCCAAGTCACTATGAAAAAAAAACCTCATAGAATTTGGAAAAAAATTGGAGTCTTGCATTTAAATAGATTCTGTTGGCAAATTCTGAATAATTGGAGAGGCAGCAAAAGAAGATGGAAGAAATACACAGTCACTGTCTCGAAAGAATTGGTCAGGAGCCAATCATTTCAGGAGGTAGCATATGATCAAAAACTTAACAGTGCTGAAGGCAGAAGTCCAAGCTGCACTGAAGGAATTGGCAAAAAAATAAAGCTCCACGAATATGCAGGAAACCAACTGAGATATTTCAACAAATCGATGTAGTGCTAGAAGTGCTTGTCTGTGCCAAGAACTCTGAAGGACAGCTACCAGGCTAACCAACTGGAAGAAAGAGATCCATACCTGTGCCCATTTCAAAGAAAAGAGAGTGAACAGGGTGCAGAAAATATCAAACAATATTGTTAATACCATACACAGGTAAAATTTTGCTAAAGATAATTCAAAAGTGGCCAGAGCGGTACATCAACAGGGAACTACTGAAAATTGAAGCTGGAACCAAATGTTGATGTGCAGCTAGGAATATTTTGCTTATATTCTTGGAATCTTGGCTGAAAGTAGAAGGTACTAGAAAGATGTCAGCCCATGTTTTATTGAATATGCAAAGATATTCAACTGAATGGATCATAAATTAGTGACAACATCCAGAAAAACAGGATCTCTAGAACACATCAGTGACTGGGGTAATCGGGATGGGTGTGTCAGAGGCAATGCGATTGGCACAGGATAGAGCAGGATTTAGGGCTGTTGTACATGTGGTCGCTATGAGTCGCAAATGACTCGACGGCACATAACAACAACAGAACACATCATTGGGCTCAGGTGAAACCTGTACATACACAAAGAGTCAGTTGCTTTTAAAAAAAAAAAGACGACGGCAAAACAAGGAGATATGTGCATGGCTTACCATAAGGAAAAGTCTGTGTCAGGTTTGTATCATTTCACTAATTCAATCTGTATGCTAAGCACATAATCTGAGAACCTAGGCTATATGAAGAAAAATATAGCATCAGGATTAGAGGAAGATTCATTAGGAATTGTGATAAGCAAACAACCACATTGCTTGCTATAAAAAAAGAGGATTTAAAACACTAACTGATGATGCTCAAAGACTATGACCTACAGTGTGGATTATACCTCAACATAAATAAAAATTCTCAAAACTAGAATAATAAGCCACATTAAGAGGAATGGAGCAAAGGCTGAAGTTGTCAAAGGACTTTCTTTTTCTAGCATTCACAATCAATTCTCATAGAAGCAGCAGTAAAAAAAAAATTCAAATGATATTGACTAAGAAAACCGGCTGCAAAAGACCTCTTTAAAATGTTAGAGAGCAAGGATGTCACTTTAAAGACTCAGGTGTGCCTGCCTCAAGTAATAATGTTTTCAATTGCCTTATATGCATACGGATGTTAGACAATGAATATGAAGATCAAAGAACTGATACCTTCAAATTGTTATTGTTGTTTTTTTATTAAATGTTATGAGTTGTCTACAATTCAAAGCAATCCTATGAACAATGAATCTGAACCCTGCCCTTTTCTGTACTGTCCTCATCCTCTCTGACATACTCGAGCTTACAGTGACTATAACAGTTACTAGGTAAATCCATCTCTTTGAGGGTCTTTTTCTGTCCTTCTGATTGTAGTATTGGCAAAGAATACTGTTAGACCATGGATTGCCAAAACAACAAATAAATCTGTCTTGAAAGAAGTGCAGCCAGTATGCTCCTTGGATGCAGGTATAACAGGATGTCATATCACACACTTTGGGCATTTATCAAGAGCAACCAGTTCTTGGAAAAGAACATCATGCTTGGCAAAGCAAAGGGTCAGAGAAAGAGGCAGACCTTCAGTGGGATGGATTGACCACTAAATGCAACAGTGGGCTGCAGTATAGCAGGGTCTGTGAGAATGATACACGAGTGGGCAGGACTTTGATCCTTTGTGCATAGAGTTGCTATGAGCTGCAGCCAACTTAATGGCACCTAAGATCAACAGTGAAATCTGGTAACACTTCATTTTCAAGATTACCACCTTATGTCTCCATCAGCCTTGCAGGTGGAGAATCCCCCCACCCCACACTGCTGCTCATCTTTAAAGTACACAATATTCTTTTTAAGGTATCATTATGGGGCTAGGAAAATGAGGTGTTCTGATAAGAAAATTCAAGGTGAGTACCTAACATCTATAGATGCAGACATAATCCTATCAACTCTTCAGTGTGAAAGAAGAGTTAAATTAAGAACTGTGCTCCCTACATCTTAAAAGGGCATCATGTTATGGATCATTTCCTACCAAGGGAGCTCCCCTAGCAGTGCTTGGCAAGTGCATTTATTTCTCTCCATGACAGCCTGAACTTGGCAGAACATTGAGAACTGGTGACAGAAGAAAATTCCATTTTCAAGCTCATAGAAAAGATTTTGAAGACATCTTTACTTGGGCAGCACTGCCAACGGGCTTATGTATGAATCAGCCACAAACGTTAAGTGGGCTGTTGCAATTTGCAGAGTTTATGATAATTTCTAATGAAGCAGCACGCAAGAGTGCCTATCGGTTATTGTGTGAGTGTGGTGCAGCCTGTAATTTGGCTTGTTTGGGTCTTTGTGTTATTATATGTTGTGCTTCACTGAAGACGGTGGCAAGCTCTTTTTTCCTTTGCTATCAGAAATTCCTCTGCTTCATGATGGAGAGCGGGGACTTTGTGGCAAGAACGGTAAATATTCCACCAAACTATATGAACAGAAAAGGGTGAGAGATGGCTATCCTTTTATTAGCATCTGATTCCAGAACATGATCCTAAATCCCCTAATTTCCTAATTACAGTTACATTTCATCACTAACCAGCAATGTAGTTGGATATTGTCTGTAGAATCTAGGAACTAAGCCAAAAAGAGTGTCAAGGGAAAAAAGGGGGGCTGATTACGCAAATAGGCAGAGTGAAATGTGTCTTTTGGTTCCTATCATTCTTCTGCTTTGTGGAGTTATCAGATTCAGCCACGCAGCACACATGCTGCTGTATGTTATCTACCATTCTTATCAAGCTTAGCCTTTGTCCTTTGTTAACACAAGTTATTATGAAGAACATTCAAAGTGGCGCTTTCTCAAAAAGTTGCAAATAAAGATACCATTTGACCCAGCAATTCCATTACTGGGAATATACCCTAAAGAGACCATAAATGACATCCAAGTAGTTATATGTATACCCATATTTATCGCGGCTTTGTTTACAATAGCAAGGAGTTGGTAACAACCTAAATGCCCATC